AGGTCCTGGTCCAGAGATTGCCTTGATCGGTATAATACCTGGGGTCTGGCCACCCTGTGTCTTGCTGCTTCGCTGCCTCCTTGGCGTGGTCTCCATCCAGGAGGTGTCCTTTGCCTTCGCAATCTTTGGCACACCTCGCACCGCCAGCGCCACTCATGGTTGAAGTGCGCCCACCTGAGCCATGGGCACTCCCGCGCCCGGAAGGGAGATAGGCCGTCGACCTTGTCCGGGCCATCTGCACAGGGTTCGGTGGGGGAGTGCCTTCGGGCCAGTGGCCCGTTATTGCTCTTCTTCGTCATCCTGTAGAAAAAATGGGGAAGTTCAGCCGAGAGCCGCAGAACTGGAAAATGTGAATGGTGGAGGACGAACTTGAGCCGCGGCAGCAGTGACCTGTGGTCGCGGGGATCGGTCGACCGGCGATCCGATCGGGGCGGAGCAGGGGGGAGAGAGGAGGGGGGGGGTCCAGCAGGAAAGCGGCCTCAGCCGCTTCCGCGGGGTCGCATAGGTTGGCCCCCCGTAAGTCGACGCCGGGAAAATGCTCGGGCTGGGTGGGGGCGTCACACGCCCAGTGTACGCGTGAGGTGACAGCGGTCACGCCTTCCTTGCGGAGGGCATCGGCCCAATAGACCCCGATGGTGGCAAGGCTGCCCGCGGCCTTGTTTAGCCTCCGTCTGGCCGCTTGCCACGTGAGCACCCAGCCAGCACCTTCTGCCTGCTCAAGGGCGTCCTCCATCTGCCGGGCCAGATGAAGCCTTCGGTACCTGGCGGCACCGGCGCCGTATCGGACCGCTGCGAGGTTGTCGCCGACAATCCGGGCTGCCCGGATTGGGCCCTTGAGGTGGGGGAGCAGCGCCAGCCCGGCTCGGCAGCCTGCCACTTCCGCCATCTGTGCGTTGTCGCAGTCGGGGAGTGCGACAATGGCAATGGCCAGGACCTGAGGGGAGCCAGTGTTGGGATTGCGATGCCACAGAATGGTCCCAGCGCCGGAGACCTTGTCTGCGCCTTCGATGGACCTTGCGCCACCGTCAAAGGTGACCTCACAGGGCCATTGGGTAGAGTTGGAGTCGGGGAAGGGCGAGCTGCGGACAGTGACCTCGTCGCCTGGCCCCAGGCGCGCGTTGGCGATCAGCGTGGTGGTGTGGGGCCCGCACTCCCGACAGAAAGCCGAGGACCATCTGGCGGTGGGAGAGTCGTCGGTCCTGGGGCATGGGAACCATCCGTTTCCTGGGGGCACCCATGCAGCCCGTGTCTGGGGCGCTTGCAGGACCACGATTCTATCCCCCGGTTTGTGGTGTCTGGTGACGATTGGGAGTCTGCGAATCTCGCCTCCTACCCTGCGTGCATGTCGATGCAAGTGGGGCCTAGCGGCTCCACAGATCGCTCTTCCGGGGGCGGTGCACGGGTTGCAAGCGCGGCAGGTGTCGCGCAGGATGGTCCAGACGGCTGTCTCGTCTGGGTTGCTGCTCCTGGGGGGTTTGTCCACCCCGTGCCCCTCCTCCTCGCTGTCACCTTGCTGATCGATGTCGGCGGTTACTATGCCGCGCAGAATGAGTCTGGCGGTTTCGTCGGCCTCCAGGGGGGAGGCGGCGAGGTTGACGCAGTACCTGAAGGAAATTTGGTGCAGCACTTTCGCAAGCATGGGTTGGTGTTCGCCGGTGCTGGCGATTGCTTGGGCGAGGGTCGGTGGGTCGTCGGGGCCCCGTATGGTGCACCAGGCAAGCGCCGCGGCTGGGCACCAGCGCCAGACGTGCTCCGTGGTCGCTTCTCCGAGCCCACAGAGTGGGCATCGTCAATGTGGTCCGCTTCTGTTGGGAGGTTGTAGGTGCCCCCGTGCGCGCGCGCGGGCCTCGGCTTGGCCCCGTAGCGGGGGGGGGGGGGGAATTTCAGGTGGCAGAATCTGCCAGATAGCGGATGCATGTGGGCCTGGGCCGATGCATCTCGCGCACCAGGCAGCGCCCTCGTCGTCGGGGCCCGCGGTGATCCACGCGTTTCTGGCTGGTGCTCCGCATGGGCACCTGCGTGGTCTTCTTTCGCCATCACCCCTTCGTCTTGCCGAGCCCGGTATTCCGTTGCTGAGGGCCCTAATCACGTGGTGCGCTTCAGTGAAAGAGGCGCAGTGGTGTAGCAAATGCCATTCCTCCCCGTTGGAAGGTTGCCATCTCCTCCCTTGGCTGGTATCCAAGGGCCATCTTGCGAGGTTGCGGCTGTGCATCTGGGCCCATGCATCCGCGTGGGAGATCCTGCCAGACTGTTTACCTTCGCGGAGGTCGGGTTGCTGCTTAGCGCGCTGCAGGGCCCGGGCGGCTTTCCGCTCGGAGATCATCTTGGGTCTGGGGGGGAACGCCTCGGGCTCCTGAGCAGCCTGGTTTGCCCATCTCAGCAATTTGTTCCACCTGTTCCCGGCGCGCTTCCTGACAAGCATGGGCCCCCAGAAATCGTTGAGTGCGCGTGCTCTGGCGGCGACCGCGCGGGCAGTCGCGGCCGGGCATCTGGGGGCGCCCTGCACCTGGAAGCGCGCGCCCACCCCCGCAAAGACAAAATCGGAGACCCAGGCGGACCCGGCCAGACCAAGAGCGGCCCTTAGTTGGGCGCGCAGTTCGCGCTCTTGCACGACGTCGGGGAGGGCGTAGCGGGCAGCGCACGGCGCCAGTGAGACAAGGTGCGCATTCCATGTGGCGGCCGTGCGCGAGGGGGGCATCTTTGCCAGGCGCAGAGCCATGGCTCTTTCTCTGATCTTGGGAAGGTGACGGTCCCGTGTGCTTTTGCATAGGGCGTCTTCCTGCCCTTTGGCGAGTCCTCCGTTCGGGGGAGGCCCGTCGCCTTCTGCGGCGCGGGAAACCACCGCTGCCCCCAGGTGGGGCCACTGGTCCCGCACTGAGGAACCTCCGAAAGAAGTGTGCTCCATGAGGGCCCGCCACCACTCGTGATTGCCGGCGCCAGTTGGGTCGGCACTGCCCTGTGCTGCTTGCCACGATTGCTTGGATGAGCTCGCTGGGGGGCGCAGAAATAAGCACGTTGTCACCGTCCTGTTCGTGATGGGCGGGCGCCTCTTCCAGCGCGGCTCTGAGCGCTGTGGAGTCCTCGGCGCGGATTCCTCTGCAACGGTGGGCCTCGACCAGGAGTCCGGCAGCCTTGGCAGCCCCGGGGAGGGCGATGGCCGCGCGTAGCGCCTGCTTCGTTGTGCTGAATAGAGCGCCGAGGTCGTCGACGTAGGTGGGATCATCGTCACCAGTAATGGAGGATATCGCAGAGATGAGGGGGTCGTACCCCATGCTCCAGAGGAGCGGGGAGGCCGTGCCACCCACCCCAACCGACCTCCGCAAGCGCCGCTCGGGACCTTTGTACTTTTCCTTGCATATCTGTACCCTTCGCTCGTCGACCAATGAGTTGAGGGTTTGTAGCAACCACGACGGGAGCTTCCATCTACGAAGGCGGCTGGTCACGCATCGAAGTGATACTCTCGAAAGCCTTATTTTGGTCGCAGAAGATGACAGCCGTGCCAGGGGCGCTGCCCAGTGCGATAGCGGCGCGGTTGACAAACGCATCGACGGCGGCGGTGTGCCGGTCCAGGAGTGCGGCCCAGGCAGGGCCCGGTTCAGATGGGGGCTCGGGGGGGAACCCAGGTGCAGGGTCACCTTTGTGATGTTGGGGCCGCATTGTCCTCCTCGCTTGGCAGCCTGGTTGGGGTTGAGGAGCGGTTCGACAGCCGGGCCTGTTAGGTCAGCCAGAGAGGCGCCATACAGCCGTCGAATGCAGGTGGGAAGCTGCAGCGGTCTCATGTCGTTGGGGGCTTCCGCACCGGGCTTCTTCCCGATCCACACTAGCAGGTCGACAAAGGGCCCTAGCACCTCCTCGATGAGTGACGGGTTGAATTCAGCGGCGTGCCACGCCTGCGCGATGAGGCAGGCGACGAATCTGGCACCGGGATGATAAGCTTCGTACGGCACCCCGTCCACCCCTGGGGCGCTCCCACCGGGGGTGAGGACGGGGGCGGCTAGTCTTGCCCAACTTGGCCTGGGCCTGTCCGTGACATCGATACCGGGGTGTCGCTGGAAGTAGAGGTCAAATAGTCTCTTGGCAGTGCCGAGGAGAAGAAGGGCAGAATGCCATATCGCACTGCGGCTGTCCCAGAGGGCGTTGTCGATCTGGTTGGGCCTGTCGTGCCACGTGCCGTTGTGGTCACGCACGCCTAGGATGGCGTGGGTTTTCTTGTATATCTCCCGCCCTGTCCTGTAGTGAGCTGCCAGGGGTGAGCGCTCCGCCCCAGGACCTCTTTGTGAGGGGGACAGGCGCGCTGCTCTTCTCTGTGTGACCTCGGCGTCCCACGTCCTGAGCCACCGGCCAGCCTGTTATGGGGTGAGGTCTTGCCCATCCCAGCCATACTCATGAAGCCAAGCCGCCAATGTTCCCACAAGGCGTGTCGTCTCACTCTTCTGACTAGCTGCTGCGAGCAGGGAGCCTGGAGAGGCCCGCGTCCTGTGTGTTTTCCATTTGTTCCACCAGTCCCGCAGTGCTGAGGAGAGGGCATGTCTGCCGAATCTCATGAGGGGATAGGCGAAGCGTGAAGAATTTCGCCAAACTCGCGCCCCCAAGGCCGCGCCCCCTTGTACTAAATGACGTAAAGACTGCCAGCCGTCCTTGCATGAGACTCCGATCTTGCTTCAAGTCGGCACCAGAGCATCCCAACATGGCTCTGATATCTCCCATTTTGGTCGAAAACGGGCCGGCGGCAAAGGGCGAGCGCCCTGACAGATAACCGTCTGAGCCTCTCTAAAATATTCCCAATGGCATCTGGCTCAACCCGCCAGCCACGCGGAACAACCTGGGCGGGGTACTCTCGATCGGCCTTCCCGCTCCAGGTGGCCCAGCCCAAGATGACTCCAGGACAATTCAACATGCCCTCCAGACGGCCCAAGAGGCCCACAAGACGCCCCTAAAGGGGTCACAGAAGACCTCCAGGAGGCCCACAGAAATGACTCCCTTGGGCTTATCCAGAGTTCCTACGCTCTCGCCTTTTCGGGCTTCCGACACCTGAGGACAGCTACGGGGCCTCCAAGATAGCCCCAAAACTGCCTCACAACCCGCCAAATAGGCCCGAACACGGGCCAGGAGGGCCCTATGACGGTCCTCAACCGCGCGTGGGCAGTTCTTCTGTGAGACATGGAAGACATGAAGGACGTGTGATAGGCAACTCCGAGCCGCCGGCGTTCAGGACGTAGTCGGGTTTGCTCTTTGGGGCGCGTATCTTCATCTGCTCGGCGACCAGCAGCTGGGCCTGGTCGTCGACACCGTCAAGGAAGTCCCGGTGGTACTCCTGGCCGCCGAGGCAGACCAGGACAACGATGAGCAGGTCGAAAAGGGTAGGAGGAATGGGTCGGGGAGAGGAACATATAAATGAGGATAAGGAGAAACGCTAAGGCGGTGGAGGGATAAGGAGATAAGGAACAAGGGGGCTCTGAAGGGGGCTAGCAAGGAACAGGATCTGGCGAACCCACGACATGACAGGCGCATCATCCCAGGGAGATGTTCCCAAATTTTATCAATCTAGACGAAAAATACCCAGGCCCGTGGTGGGCCTGCCGGAAGCGGCAAGTTGAACGTCCCTCAGCAGCTGGTGGCCGCAACTATCGCCCAACATTTGGCATCGATGCGGAACTCCCTTGTGCACCGAAAGGTGGGTCCTTGAGGATCGGATGCGTTTTCCGATGTCTCGTGGGGTGGTCGGGGGAGTACAGGGGAACGATTGTGGGTCAACCAGTGGAGGCAATGTGGGGGTGGGGCCTAGCGAGGCTTCCACTCGATGGTGGGGACTCAAGAACGAGCGGTCCATGGGAGGGTGTGCGGGCATGAAGGGGACATGGATGGGACACTGCTCCCAGAATGAAGTAGTAATCCCTGGTGCCAGAGGGGTGCATGAAGTCGCCCTCTTCCGACGAGAGGAGGATCTCCCATACTGAAGTGGTAGTCCGTGGTTTGAAGCGGCTACGCCAGGCGTTGAACCAAACAGCTGAATCGATTGTTGGCACACGACAAGGTCAACAAAAAAATGTCCCAACTGCCGTAAGCAAAACTAGATGATACAACGTGTCTGCCCGTGGCATGATCAGTGCTTGACAGAGATCGCGACAACTTGTAATGGATCTCGAGAAAGCGCTGCGCACGGGGCACGGTACAAAAAAGCAAGAACGACGCACGGCCCATGAAATGGCAAGAACAAATGTGAGGAAGGAGGTAACAGGGTATGCGTACTTCTTATCAAAAACATGAATTCCCAACCATCCTGTGGTGCTGGGTCCTCGTTTTGAAGAGACGGCGCCCCGCGTTCCTCTCCTCCTGCAAAACCCCGAGGAGGGTTCTGCACGGGAGATCGGTGACAGCGATGACGATCGGTCACCTTTTTTACCTCAGCACGGCGAAGCAACTCTCGGTAGCTTCAGCCGTTAAATACTTGAGCCAAACGGTAACGGGGACACCTTCACTCCCCAGTCACCTGAATGCTCACATGTTAACACCCCCCCTCGGACGCTAGTCCGTATAGGCTGACGGGGAGGCGTCAACACTCACGGAAACAGGTCAAGCTAGACAAAACGTCGCACGCAAATGACGTTAAGCCTCAAGTCTCTTCATCACACTGTTGAATTCGAAATGTCTCGTGACGGCGCTTACGAGCACCAAGTTTCTCACACATGTAACATGAGCTCGAGTAAACGCTTTTACTGTCACAAGTTCAAACGAAGCATCTAAAATTTACACAGCAAGCTAGCGTTTGGATGATTTTGGTTGCTATCGCTTTTTATTCGCCAATACCTGCGGTAACAACAAAAGATGCGCATGCAAACAAACTCAGCTCCACCGGCTGCTGCCACTCGATCGTTAAGCCAAGTTAAGAGGGGAGATGAGGAAGAGGGTGAACTGCAGCATGTTGACTGCCTGCCATCTTTCACGGACGGCGCGGGCGCCTCGCCGACGGGGCCCGCGAACCCCTCGACCTCGGTAACCCGCGATGGCCCACGCCGGCTGCGGTGTAGGACGACACCCTGTTAAGGGCCTGCATCTGGTTGTAGTAATCGTTGCCCATGTACGCGTTAATGCGCTCCTCGTCGTCAAGCCAGCACCCCTCATCGTGGCTCTTGATTGAGCCGTCAACGATGTTGTGGTAAGTGTCGATGGCCCTCCAGTAACTGGCGTGGGGAGCCTTTAACAGAGGCCTATCGCCTGGATTGTTACGGAGGTGCTCTTCGACCGCAGCGCCGGTAAACGGGTTCACAGTCCAGGCCGGATCGGTAAGCCAGTTGGGGAAGTCGTCGCACGGTAACCAGCCAGACCAGCAAAGCTTCTCACGGTGATCACTTTTACGCTCGGTGACATGATCGGCCGGCCAACTATCACGGTAAAGTGCCCTCATGGATCCCTGATCGTTAAGGGCAACTTCCAATGCGGTCTGGTGCCAGTAGACTGGAGGCTTGCTCATCCTGCCCTTTAACTCCGCGGTGCTCCTGACCTCGAGGTCGTCGATGAAGTAGTTGCGGTAATGCACCTGGAGCCCGTTCATGTAACGGCAGTAAAGCCTGGCAAGATCGGGCGTCGCAAAGCGAATCACGGTAACTCCAGTCGAGATGTAACCGTGCGGCCCATGGGTGTCCTCCACCAGGTGCTTAACGGAAATCACGGTGGGGTTGCCGTGGGGCAGCATTCCTGCCCACGTTAAGAGGAAGCCGTTAAGCTGCTTCTCGCTCATCTCCGGCACCTTGTTGACGTGCAGTTGCGTGTCCGGGCAACTGTGGTGCTCAAACCACGATGGGTGAAGCTCGTTAAGGTGGAGCGGTGGCGAGTAGTCATCGTCAAATAGGGACTGCACGTGCCCCACCGCGTCAACCCATTCATCATGCTTGGCCAACTCTTTGTCCGTTAACTGAGACCTCCAGCTGATCGGACCTTTCAACGCGGCATAGCCGATGAAACCGTAAGCGAGTTGGCCGAAGATGTCAACGAACACGTCGTCGTAATCGTTAAGCTCCCGCCCGGTGTTGCCCTGAATGGACCTGCCGCCAGGGGTCGTTAACCCCGCCTTCGCCACGTGCCCGACGAAGTTACCCTCAAACTTGCGCCAGTTATCACGTGTCTTCATCGCTAAGGCTACCACCTCCCTGGGATCAGGTTCCGCCCGAAAGTTAACGTCGTAGTCGTCGCTCCCGTTGTTCAGCATGGATATGCGACCGTTGACGTGGTACAGCGGGCGGTAAGTGGTGTCCTTGGCGACGATCCTGGAGTGCCTCTCAACCTGATCAGTCGCGCGGTTAACGACCTGAGGCTGCGGTGGCGGGACGCGCTGGATCGGCAACCTCTTGGGCTCTGGAGGCGGGGGCTTCACGCCGGTAGCGCTGCTTGCCGCTCTGGACTCGCCGAGCCCCGGAGGGGGCGGCTTGGCCGGCCTCGCGTTTACGACGGGAGCAGGATCCTTTGGCGCCTCATCACGTTGACCACCAACCGTTCGATCCTCGTCCATCTTCATGCCTATCTGCATCAACTCCTCCAGCTCCCGTTGACGTTCACGCATGGCCTTCGGCGCCCGCTTGTAAACAGGCTGTGGCTCTTCACCGCCCTGCCGGCTCAACGGTGACGCTCGAATCTTGTTCGGTGACGCGGACCGCCGACTCCCCCCGGCTTTGGCGGTTACGCCGGCCAGGTCCTGAGTAGGGGGAGCCTTGCCTGGCGGAGCCACGGTAACCTGCTGCGCTGGGGGCGCGCCCGTGGCCATGGGCCCGGCTGCCGCGGCGGCGGCAACGGGCGGCGCCTTGGCGGGCGCTGCCGTCGGGGGCGACCCAGGTAACGGCGGCGGCGCCTGCGGAATATCGGTAACCGAGGAGTTGATCGGGTCATCCAAGAACTTCTGCAAACCCTCAAGCCTCTCGGTAACTCCCACTAGAATACGTAGCGCCGCATCACGTTTACCTTCGAGGTCCTGCAGGGGCGTGATATTCTCGGTAAGGCGCCTGGCGGTAATCAAGAGGCAACTGATATTTTCGTTGATGCGCCGGTACTTGGTTGCATTCTCCGCCGTGTTAACCTCCGAGTCGCGATTCTTGATGTTCAACTCTGTCACCATCGCCACAAGGTTGTTAACCTCGTCCTGCGCCCTCTTGAGGTTCTCGTTGACATCGTCATTGGCGTGAACCAACGCGGTGTTCTGCTGCGTTAAGTCAACGATCCTCCGCGCCATATCATCGGCGACCCTCTGCATCTCGTCAACGTGCTTATCATAGGCCCCGTGGAAGTTAATGGCCATGTTGGTGAGGGTCACGGTGAACGCATGAGCCACGTTGACGATATCGTCGACGCGGCGATTGAGGTTCTCGCGCGTAACCGGCCCTGCCCCAGGCGGGCTCTGGTCGACCGCCGCGCCGTTGATCGTGACGTTGACTTGATGGTCCGCCATGCTTTCGTTCACGCTCGAGGGAAAGAGGTAAAGGATGGAGGAAGCTTTAATCAAGACAGCTTGCTTGACAGAAATGAGCTGCGGATGTCAACGCTCGGTGGCCGGCGCAAGGCTGTGCCGACCTGTTAATGCGCTTTGGTTTGTGTTTAGCAGATGTGTGCTCATACTTTCACGACTTGCATACTTGGTTAATGCATCTGCTACGTTCTCATGAGTACCTACTTTCGCAATTCGAATCACTCCCTCCTTTACCTTCTGCTGCAGCCACAGTTGACATACTTCAATGTGTCTTACTTTTCCTAAACCTCGTCTACTCGCAATCGGGATTGCAGCCGTGGCATCACTTTTCAAGGCGATCTCAACTTCCAAGTTAAAATCCCTCAACACTGCCTGAAGTCCCAGTCCGACTGATCCTCCTTTCACAAGCCCGTAATACTCTGCTTCCCCTGACGATAATGCAATTACACTTTGCGTTGTGCTCCAAGATTTTATAAGGTGTTTACCCCACATCACTACTCCTCCACTCGTAGACTTCCTAGTTCGTTTACATCCTGCGTAATCTGTGTCCGTCCAAATCGTCAACTCTCGAGGCTGCTCTTGATACTGATACACGTAACTGCTTCTGCTGTGATACTTCAAATACTTTTCTAGCTTGACTAGACCTTTCCACGAACCCATAGTTGGCTTTGACATGGCCCTAGCAAGTTCTTTCACTGAATACTGTATGTCCGATCTGTCTTGAGCTAAATAATTCGCTCTAGCCGTTAATGCCTGATATCGCTTAGTCATGCTGGGCGAAAGTTATACCTCGTCTCCCTCCTCAACTGGAATGCGTTCACCTGGCACCTCAGTCCTCACTTTTACTCCCTCAAGTT